GTCGCGTGTGCGTCTGTCTCTTTGACACGAAATTCATAGCGCCGGTCCCAGTAGCAGCGAGATATTGGTTCCAAGAAGTGACGTAGAGGGTGTGACGGGAACACTATTGGTGGGTGATAGGAAGTGAAGTTGATATCAGTTGATAATATCTGATAAGAGGCCTCAGAATGGAACTCTCACCATATTCGTAATGCGGGTCACAGCATCAGCCAGGTGTTGATTCCAACATATGATTTGGGGTGAGGACAGATCGGTGCAGGTCGACAGGAACATTATTGGTGGGATGACTCAAGAATGTCAGCTCTGAGAAGATTTCGAGATGTTATAGACAGGGATATTTAGTATTTATGTACACACAACGAATTGCGGCTTGTGCTGTGTGTACGAAAACAGCTTAACATGAGATGGAACACGTACTCCTGAGAAACAATTAGCAGTCAAATATTCGACAACAACAAACAAAGCCGTAAGCGTAACGTGAGCTCTATAAGGCTCATGGACTCATAGCTTTTTATTCAAGTAGTTGTCCTTCGAAAGTGCTGTTAATTTAATGGTATGGGATGCTTCTTATCGAGTTTCTCATATGAAGGTAAGGCTCTGTGTGAAAAGAAATGACGCCTACTATTTACCCTCGCTTTAGCAAGGTTATATTTAATAGTGCTTCCCCGAGTAATGGACGACTTGAGCGAAAAAAGACGTCCAAGTTCAATAGGTCCACCGTGCAGGAGTTTATGCAAGAGCAAGAGATCGTTCCGCTTCCTCCTCCGCACAAGAGTAGACAACTCAAAGTTCTTGTTTCTAGCGGCACTGGAGGGAATTTGATCATAACGGAACCCTAATACGCGTACCATGAGCTTCCTAGTGAAGTTATTCTGGACTCTCTCCAATGCGTTAATCATTTTAACCTTATAGGGATTGAACGGGTTTAGCTACCGTCTATCCCACCTCTCGCGCCTGATGAAAGCTCTTGAAAGAGTGAAAGTGAAGCCCGCTGTAATGAGTATCGATCGCTCTTTAGTGCAAAACTCTGTTGAAACAAACGTGGCTGAGTCCAAGACAGTAGCCTTTCTTTGGCTTATTAACCTGCCGAGTGTCATCAAAGTCGGATTATCAGTCACCAGGAATCCCAAATCTTGTACCTCATGCACACTGTTGAGAATAGTGCCGTCTATCGTGTAAGAGTGCTGTCCATTGCGACTACCTAGGTGCAGTACTTTCGACTTGAACCCGCGTGGTAGAGAGTGGCAAGATCCCCAACTGTCGAGACATTCTAGAAACTGCATCGGTATCGCACTCTGAGCGACCTATATCCCGAAGCTGTTACATCTGTAAGCCGGAGAGTTTTCAGATCATCTGCGGAAAGCACAGGCTACTCACATTACTCATAGAGAGAAGTTTAAGTAAATCATAGGTATAAATATTAAATAGGATCGGCGAAAGGACACCTCCCTGTGGTACACCACTGCGAGCGATTCTAGGCTTGGAAAAAGAGGAGTTGACACGTACTATAAACTTTCGTTCGGAGAGGAAGGATCTGAGCCAAGCGATTATCCGGGGATGAATTCCTACGACGTACATTTTGTGGAGTAATTTTTCATGGGGTACTCTATCAAAGGCCTTGAGGAAGTCAAAGTATATTACATCAACGTTCTTGCCTTCATCAAGATACTTCGTCCAGTCATTAAGCACCTGTATCATTGCCGTCACCGTTGACTTCCCCTTTTGAAATCCATGTTGGTAAGGAGATATAACGGAGTGGTCTTCTAAGTGGAGAACGATGTGTTTTTTCAATGTTTTTTCGAAAAGCCTAGCGAATACTGAAGTTATGCTGACTGGTCTGTAATTGGAGGCCTCACTGTATGGCGGTTTTTTGGGCAGGGGGGTAATTAGAGACTGGGTCCACCTTTTAGGCACCTCAGATCGCATGAAACTCAGGTTAAATATGTACTCCAATGGACTACTAATGATGTGCGCCACTTTCTTAATGAAAGATAGGGGAATAAAGTCTGGCGTCAAGGACTCTGAATTAGGCCATTTTAGGAGGGCTTTCAAAATCTCATCTCTGTGAAACCAGACAGAATCTCCCATCGCGGGGAATTCGTTGGTTAATAGTGAAACCACCGCTTGCTCACTATCTCCGAAGTATGTTTCAAAAGTGGAAGCCAGTAACTCAGCTCGCTCAACATCATCAAGAAGAACTCTCCCAGAAGGAGTACGTAAGGCTTGCAACCTTGACTTACGCTTTAACCGAGACTTCACTAGCTTATAAAAGGCACTCTTACAGCGAGAAGACACAACTCTCTTCTCAACAGACGCATTATATTTCCGAAGTTTTGACTCGAAAGACTTTTGAATGCGTTTGAAGGATTCCCAGTACTCAGCAGTGTTCGACGTCTTTGCTTTCACCCACGCATTTTCCCTCTTGATTGACAGCCGTTCCAGAAATGGTGGCAGATTTGATTCCCTCAGTCTTTTCTTGCTAACTGGGACAAAAAGTTCAATGGCATGTGTGAGAATTGCAATAAATAGTTCGTATTTATCATCTACTGACTGAGCGCTATTGAGAGAACCAAACC